CAGGTTTGCCACCAAACTTCAAAACACTTCCTGTACTTCACATTGAAACAGTAACACCAATTCATAACAAAAGAAAAGTTATCTCATTTCACTTTTCATATAAAGCAGGTCTAGACTGTACTCTATATTATTATTAACACTTGTTGTCTGAAGCAAGAAAAGACTCTCTTTTCGGAGGTAGAGAGACCTCGAATGGAACCGTGTCTCAGGTTTGGTGGCCATTGGTGGCGACCAGTTGGGGTTGAGAGAGAGAGAGAGAGAGCCAGAGAGAGCGTTGGATAGCAAAAGAGAGTGAGAGAGGGCGAAGGGCTGATGCAACACAATGTCCACATAGAACTACATAATCTGTAAAATTGGTTGTGGTTCAGACAGGAAATGAATAATGTTGTGATAATTTTACTAATATTGTATATAATGATAATACAAGAGGTGGAGAGAGGAGCTCAGTGCATCATGGGAACCCCCCCGGCAGTCTAGGCCTATAGCAGCATAACTAAGGGATGGTTCAGGACTACCTGAGCCAGCCCTAACTATAAGCTTTATCAAAGAGGAAAGTCTTAAGCCTACTCTTAAATGTGGAGATGGTGTCTGCCTCCTGAACCCAAACTGGAACCTGGTTCCACAGGAGAGGAGCTTGATAGCTGAACGCTCTGGCTCCTAGTTTACTTTGGAGACTCTAGGAACCACAAGTAACCCTGCATTCTGGGAGCGCAGTGCTCTGGTGGGGTAGTAAGGTACTATGAGCTCTTTAAGATAAGATGGTGCCTGACCATTAAGAGCTTTGTAGGTAAGAAGAATGATTTTAAATTCTATTCTGGATTTTACTGGAAGCCAATGCAGAGAAGCTAAAACAGGAAAAATATGATCTCTTTTCCTGGTTCCTGTCAGAACACGTGCTGCAGCATTCTGGATCAGCTGAAGAGTCTTAATGGACTTTTTCGAGCAGCCTGATAATAAGGAATTGCAGTAATCCAGCCTAGAAGTAACAAATGCATGGACTAGTTTTTCTGCATCATTTTTAGACAGGATGTTCCTGATTTTCGTAATATTATGTAGGTGAAAAAAGGCGGTCCTTGAAATTTGCTTAATGTGAGACTTAAACAACATGTCCAAAGATAACTCCAAGATTCCTCACAGTGGTGCTGGAGGCCAGGGCGATTTTTACATTTAATAAAGCATAACATAATTAAATCATGTTAAAGGTTCAGTGTGTAAGATTTTGTGTGAGGTTGCAAATTGCAAACCATATAACCGCATAATAGATTAAGTTTATTTTTGCCTGCCAGCAATAATATCTGGCGCGCAGTCAGATTATGGTGCTTTGATAGCAGCAAAAAATAAAAATAAATGTTTGACGATTTAGATTTCAGTCATGACAGCAACAGTTAGTCACATAATCACTTCCTCAAGTGCTTTAGCCTTCAAAAAAAAAAGCGCAAGAATGTTTTTTTGCATCAGTGCTTTACTTCGAGTTGAACTGAGCTTTGAAAAATTCTAAACATTAAAAAGAGTCTGTAGCCTGCTTGACCTCTTGAAGAGCCCGTAAAGCGTCCGTAGGTTAATGGATGCGGATCAAACACTGAAACACTGCAGCTGTAATGCTGTAATGTCAGCATGAGAAACTGTCGCTGCATGTCGCTATGTAATCAGTCTCACAACCTTCTAGTTGAGAGTCCTGCACTTTATCAACTTAGCTAACCGAACACCATGACAACAGTCTCAAATATTATGGCTTATATTCTCACCCACCATCTAATGCATGAAAAATTGTTTCTTATTACTTCTTCTTCTTTGAACGTACATATTCAACGTAGTGATGAGCTAAGAAGAAGAATGATGATGATGAAACGAGCTCACATGACGGCACGATACGGCGACGTCCTTGTAAGGGGGGACCCACAGTTATGTAGATAGAAATGAGTCATTCTAAGGTAATAAAAATATAAAGTTTCATTGTGTAAGGTTATACACCACTGACAACATAGTTATGGATATTATATTGCTTTTCTGTCAATAAATCCTCAGAAATATTACACACTGGACCTTTAAATATGTGATAATTCAATTCAATACAGATGGGCTACATCTGAGGACTTGGCCTTTTAATTATTTAAGATCTCCTCCCTAAATCACAGAGGCTTCAGGGCTACCTGTTTAAATGTAATGCTGGGGTGGTAAGAAAAAAACTTCTTTTCAGCTGCAACACCAGTGGAACAAGTCAGAATAAAATCTACAAATGTGAGTACAAATGTGGTGTGCGGTCCACATATACAGGGCAACTTCGAGTTAACCACAAAGATAACTTGCTCGGAGCAGTTTAGAGATGTGTAAATTGCCATGGCAGCAGACCTCAGGTAAAACCTTTCGTAGTACGGGTTAATCAGGAAGTTACTCATGAAGTTACCTTGATAAGCCAGTTACCTCGCCTCGTAGTACAGGCCACTGATCTGTATCACATCTGTATCTCCCTGCCTCTGTGTGTGTTTGAGAGAGTCTTCCCTATCCTGAGTACCTGATGTGTGTCCCCTGGTTGTGTCCCACAACGCTTGTTTGCTCTTGTATAAATGGTTTTCAGTCCCTCTTCGGTCATTGCAGTATGTTGAGGCTTCTTCTTGTCTCTGTGAGGTTGCATTTCACATTATTCTGCTTTTTGCTAATAAACCTTGCAAACTGATGTCAGCTCTCCACTGTTGTGCGTTTGGGCTCAAGCCTGCTTATCACTCGATAAACATAGTTATAGGCACCACTGTAATCAGACTGTTTCTGAGAATAAATGTAATACAGGTCTTTTCTGACCCACCTCCAGTTCCAACATTGCCCCAGCCGGTGGACCAGGAGACAGTCCCCTTGTAGAAGGTGCTGCCTGGGGCTGCAAGACAGACAGGCTGAATGTAGGTGGTGAAAGTCACCGGAGAGGAGAGCTTCAGGAGGCAGATGTCGTTGTTAATATTTCCAGAGATAAAGTTGGGATGAATGATGATCTGTGATACTGTCCGAGTCACTTGATTGGGGTTTATTCCCTGTAGACTCTGGAGACCCAGATACACAACCAGAGTGCTCGTGCTTAAGCCTGATCTGAGGTAATCAGAAGAGAAACAAAACAGTGCAAAAACATGAAAAGTACAACTATAGTCGAGAGCACTTAAACAAAGACTAAGTCGATTGTACGACCACGTCTGTGGAGTTATTACGGTTATAATGACATACGAGCCACGTCTGCCGGCAAATATGAAACGATGCGGCAGCAGTCCCTGGGGATTTATTGATGGAATAATGTGTTTTGGAATTGACTGCGCAGCACTGAGCAGCAGTCAGCACCCACAAGCAACGCAACACTAAGTTACTCCAGCCGTTTCAGCGATTATTTGTTTGTCAGGTAACTTTTAATGGCTTGCCCAGAGACATTCAGTTTACTTTCTAGCTCACCAAGACATGCTGTTGTTGTGATGTTAGCTATAGCAGCAGGAGAGCTGTATCACTGCCTGGAGCTGCTGTGCTGCTCTGGGACTGTCTCTTTCTCTCATGTTTACTTTACAAAGCAAGTAAAAACAGTTTGCTAACCCAAAACCTAGCTCATATTAAACAGTTACATTACTTGCTGTGTCATTGTTCACTCTATATCATGGTGTTGGATTTCTAAAGAATAACTAACCACCCACCTTTATGAGGCAGAGTTCATAATATTTCATTGAATTTACAAAGAAAATATTCTATGTCAGGATATATATCGTTACTGGTATATAAAATGACCTATATCGGGATGTGAGATTTTAATCATATTGCACAGCCCTAGTAGTCGGACGACAAACGGAAACCAGATGCTAAACTTGCCTATAGAGAGAGCTACAAAAATGAACTCTAAAATGCATCCTAAACTCTTGCTGGAATAATCCTCTTAAATTTTCTCCCCTGCCTCTTAAAGCAGCAGTATCCATCCTTTTTGGCTAATGACTCCTCAAAATGAATCATTGTCTGCTGCTGTACATCATCACAGGTCAAAACACAGATTTTCTCCTTGGATGGTGATATCTATATATTTTTATCTGTCCTGTAAATCCTCTCAAGACCTGTTACATTTATCTTGCGACCGCTTGGAGAGATTCCTGCCCCCAGGTTGGGAACCACTGCCTTAGACAGGCTGTTTCCACCACTGCATGGCATGTTGTTTTTTGACGCCGCCCTACCCTCACTGCTTACCTTGAGCAGCACTGAGCAGCAGTCAGCACCCATTGATTGTTAATGAGGGTTCCTGCGCAGAAGTGGGACCCAGAGGTTCGCAGACTGGCCTGCCAGGGCCAGCTGCCTGGAGTGGACACCTGTCCTCCAACAATCTTGGTGTTGAGTGTTGGCTTACCGCACACTGAGGAGAGAGACAAGCTATTGACAACATGTTTACGCCCCAAAAACATTTTTAAAGGAGACAAATTATACTGCATTTACAGTCCTATACTGTAGTTCTGCGACTCCTGTATGGCAGCTTTGCATGATTCAAAGTTTAAAAAAAAATTTTCTCTGTCTTATACTGACTCTTCATGTAGGGCTTCATTTCAGCGTCTGTCTGAAACAAGCTGTAGATGTTTCTGTCTTTTTAAGCCCCCCCTCAAAGCCCACTGTCTTCTGATTGGCCAAAGCCTGAAGCATGTCACCAGGCTGTTGTTGTGCTCAGAGGTCCATACAGACTGAGCGTAGCTGTGCGGAGCAAATGATCATATATGAAACACCTGCTCCATCTGGCTCCATGCGTCGTAGAACAGAGCCAGCTGTTCATAACGGAGCGTTCAGAACAGGAGGAAATCTGAGTTTTTTGCTTAAAGAGATTTCTTTTAAATACTTTAACCTCATTATTATTGTCCATGTTTAACATGAACATCTAACACTGTAACATTGTAGTTAATCATAAAATATAGAAAAACATAATATGTCTCCTTTGAAATGTCCCAATAATAGACAGACAGACAAAGTAAAAAAGTAAAAAAGTGAGCGTAGAAACGGTGACTTACCACTTAGTTGTGACTGAGACTCTGAAAACATAAAACAATGATACATTAATTGTGTATTTATATATACTGATATGTCTTAGCTATAGTTCACATAATTACTTTAATTGCATGCTTACAAAAAACTCAACTACAAGGACAGACTGAAAAGAATAAGAAAAGTTTTAAGGTGGCTTTAAGTTGCAGATTAACAAATTCAGTGCTTCTAATTTTCAAATCAAGCACAATTCAACTTAGCTTGCACTACACTAGATTTCTGGCTTGAAAAATATATACAAATAATACAAATGTATGAAAGATGTGGAATATTTTTAGGAATGTTGAAAAGCTGACACTAAACTACAGTGGTGGCTTTAATTTGCATGAAGAAGTATAAAGGACTAAAAAGACTGGGAAACGTGGGGAATGTTCTAAATAATCCAATTTTAAGCTTGAATAAATCTCGTATTGCTAAAGTTTGTAATTATTTGTAGTATGAATGGGAATTCAACCTATAATGTTTGACAAATGTGGAGTATTTTAAGGTTTGGTTGGAGTTTGAAGTTACTAGATAACACTGATATAAACAACTTTTACTTTCAGATACAGTTATACACAGTACAACGCATGCAAAACTTCTGCATTTAACCCATCTGTGTAGGGGCCATTGTGCAGCATCCAGGAAGGAGCCAGGAGTACAGTGCCTTGCTCATGGGCACTTTACGCAATGGTCCGTGCTGCACTTGATTTGTTGACCCTTCAGTTCACAAGCAAAGTCCCTTTAGACTGAGCTGACGTCGCCCACATTAATAAAATACTTGAAAAAGACGTGTGTGTGTGTATATGCCCCACTGACCTTATTATCCCAGTTTAAGCATCCTGCAGTGCTTGCAGAGACACATACAATATGAACACACTTGTTTTTCCTTATACTGTATGGTCGGACTCCAGGTCATCCCTCGTTTGTTGTTAACATACAGTGACCATTGGGGGGGTTTATTTTGAAACTTTACTTACGTTACTGTCTGGGGACTGTTGTTTTGAAAAATAAGATCCATCCCTAGTTCCCTGTTAAGATGAAGTTACTCTACAGGGCCTATTTTTTTCATTTCCTGAGTTCCCTATTAAGTACAGTTACTGTCGGGGTCATTTTTAAAAATTAGGTCAATCTAATGTTGCCAGTTAAGAAACAATTACTTTGTGGGGCTTTTACTTTGGAAAACTAGGTTGAGCCTTATCTTCCTGTTTCCATAGAGACCATTGGGGGATTTTATTTTGAGAAGCCTTGCTCATCTTGACTCTCCTGTTATGATAAGGTTTCCACATTGGTTTTAACAGGGCGTAACTTTCATCACCTCAGAAAACAGAGAGAGAAGATTCACCTGGGGTGCCCTCAGCACACATGTAGGCATGACTGAAGTAAACTCTTTAAATGTGCATGTCACACCAATGATTAATCAGTTCATTTTAATTCAGTTATAAACCCCTGGACTTTAATAGCTCCTGTGTTTCAGAAGATTTTCTGCTCACGTCCAAAACGTTCTGCACATCTAAAATCTCTCCCACATATCTGTTTTCTCTTTGCAGAATAACTTGGTAATATTTAGAGACAAAATGTGTAATATTACGGGAATAAAATCACAATCTACTGAGAATAAAGTCATAATATTTCAACAAAATATTCCTGCCATGTACTCTGCTGTACATTAGCCTGAGGTTGTGCTGATTCTGGGGTCCCTGAAACTGTACTGTAAAAATTACAGCTTTATTAATCACAAGGTCATAATGCATGTCTCAAAGAATGAATGCAAATAGTGACTGTCAGGAAAAATAACATTTACATCACTCAGCTGCTTCCTGAATTCTTTTTATAATGATCTGCTAATTGGAAATTAATGTATGTTATTTCAATTTATACATCCAGGCTAAGTTTTAAATCAGTCTAAACAAAGCCATGAGTTCAGTGCAAAACTATTTTTATTCCATTACGTTTATCTGATTTCTATAATTACTGCTCACATGCAGATTAATGTCTTTTTAAATTTGGCTAGTTTTGCCATTTAATTTTCTTTTCCACAAACATCTTAACAGATTACATAATGACTTTTAGATGTTAAAGAGTTTTAGAGAATTTCCTCATCCTGGACTTACTTTTTTTCTCCTTCTCTTGTAGATTTGCTAATTTTCATAAATTGATGTAAATATTGTTTCAGTGCGACAGGATCTACTGAGCACTTTGGTTTTGTACATTTTAATTTCAATACAGGATCTGCACTTTCATGTAATACTGATTTATTTAACAACTTCTCTTACTTAATTAAAAGATTCTTGATCCTCTGTGCACAGTGAGGAGGGTTCTTACCTTGTGTCAGGAGAGTCAGCAGAGTTGCCACACAGATCACTTTGTAGAAAGCCATCGCTGCAAGTCCATATCATCAGAAATGCACCTGCTTTAATACCCTTCTTCTCTCCTCCCTCCCTCCCTCTCCCCCCTCCCTCTCTCTCCCTCCCTCTCTCTCTATCTTCCTCCAACTCCAGCCAAAATATTCATTGACACACCCAACATCTCACCTATCACCTGTTTCACAAAACATCAAAAATGTCATAAATGTACATTTACTCAAGTTCTGTTCTTAAGTATAATATTTGAGTACTTGAAAATTTCCTTTTCACCACCTGTAGTAACTAGTAATGCTTTTAGATTAAGATTTTATATTAAAAGCAAACATGATAAACCTTAAAAAATACAATGCGTTGTTACATATTAAACCTTTTTGTCTTTATGATAATTATAGCTTTATATGCTTTAAATCCATAATTACAAACCAGTTTGTCTGCCTTCTCTTTCTGTGGATCTGACACCTCACATATCTGTTAAGTTATGAATATGATTTGGATTGTGATATAAAAGATATTAATAGGCCCAAATACGTGAAAGCCTAAATCTTCCAAGCTGGGATTTTAGGGATCAGATCGCCTATTGGTGATCTCGAGTAGCCATAATTGGACGATATGAAAAACGAAGAGATTGCCCAACTCTAGTTGTAGCTGGACAAAGTGGATCTAATTTCAAATGCTTTATATCCTGCTGGGAAAAAACCCTGCACACATTTCAAATAATGAGAAATAAACTAGTCAAACAGGCTCAGGCTTCCTGTAAACAAATTAACTGGATTTATTGTAAGCCACATGCATCCATCACATTAAGAATGTTTCTAGGGTTTGTAAAGCTAACAAGAAAAAAATAGCCATTAAATAGGACTTTCTGAAAAAGTGCTTGGATCCTTTACTTAAGTAAAATTACCAACGTAAAACAATGTAAAAATTCACCATTACAAGTGAAAATCGTGTTTTGATTCAGTGAACTTCTGTGAGATTTCTGTTATCAGAGCACTGTGCCATATATTTAATAGAAAGATATCTAGTGTGTACAGCTGACCACACAGTACACAGGCTTTTGAATACATACGTGGCTACCAGTATATAAGTGTGTTCAGTCTTGTTTTATGCAGTCTGTGGTTCAGTGTCAACAAACAGTAAAGCCCTGAGATGTAAAAAATCAAAACTCCAAAATCACTAAATATATTTGTTCATGAAGTCACCTGTCTGTCACGAGGAACAACAGAACGACTGTGGGAATGTTACAGTGGGTAACTCATGATGATCTGGTTTACAATGTATTTAATTTAGCCTAATTCATTTTATCAGTGTGCTGCCTGTCTGACTGGAATACTAGAAAAAAAATATGTGGTGGAACATCTCAATCACAATTAATTAGGTTAAAAGGCAACAGGTTTTAAAAATGATTGGATATAAAAAGATCATCTCTTCAGTCTTTCTGAAGTGAAGGGATTACCACTCTGTGAAAGACTGCGCTGGCAAAGAGTGCAAAAATTAAGTATGATGATTTTCACTGTAAAATTGCAAATAACCTGGGGATTCTGTACATCAAAGCATTATAAGATTCATAGAGTCGGAAGAAATCTCAGGACACATAGGTCAAACAATATTGAATGCTGTGATCTTCGGGTCTTCAGACAGCACTGCATCAGAAACAGACACGATTCTGAGGAACATTTTCAAAAACCATTGTCTGTGAACACAGTTCGTCACTGCATCCAAAAATGTAACTCTACCATGCCGAGGAAACTGTATGTAAACCAGATCCAGATACACCACCACCTTCTGTGGGCCTGAGCTCATTTAAGATGACTGAGGCGAAGTGGAAAACTGCATTGTGGTCTGACAAGTCAAAATTTGTGTCCACACGCGCCACCAGCTAAGCCTGATGAATTACAATGGAAGGACTCGAGGAAGTGGTTCCCCAATCACATGCAGCTGACTGCACCCTGTGTGTGATCCCAGAATAGGACAAAGAGGGTGATGTTTACAGGAAATTTGTTAGAAGAATGTGTAAGTAATTCCTGTTAAACCTTCTCCACACACCATCAACATGGCTGACCTGTTTGAGGTGTCACTCAAAAAAGAATCATTAGAAGGAATGAAACCTGTTTTGATTTTGTGTCCACAGTGCATTGAACTGAAACAGCACATCTTTTATTGCTATCAGTTCAGCTGTAGTGTGTTTTTATCTTCATGTTTCAAACAAGCGTCAGATATGCCACGTTCTCTTCCTCTGCCTCTACAACCACGACCTCTCAGGGGGTGCTTCTCAGGTGGTTGGTTTCTCCCACTGGCTCCCGGTTCTTGCGAGCCTGTGTGTGCTGTGGATTTCTGTGAGTCTGCTGCGAAAAAATCTGCTTTTATTCTCTGTAGCAGTGATGCAAATCCTTCACCTCCATTTTGGATCCGAGAAAAATGGGTTTTTTTGTGTGGTGGAGGACTAAGAGTGACAGGTTCTGGGGGGGTGGACCGGGTCCAGATCAGGACCTGGTTTGACACAATAAGATGCAGAAATGTTTAAAGATGCTGTCCCTGCCTTTTTCCCTGTCCCTGAGAAGTGCTTCCTTTAAACAATCTGCTGTCCAGTCTGTTTTAGGTTATCTCTTTTCATTGTCTTTTTTTTTGTAAACTTACTCTTTAAAGTTTCTGATTGTCTGAGACTAAAAGCTGCCTGTTACTGGAAAGCCACACTCTTTTACCCAAATGTCCAGTTGGTATGTGCTTCGATTACCATGGTTGTTAATCATGTAATTAATATTAGGAGCATTTATTATTGAAGGGTCTTGTTCCTACTTACTGTTATTTGAACCTATTTTCCGTAGTGTTTAAATAACCCCAGAATGTAATAAAGAATGAACCTTTTAGGGTTTTTTCTTTTAAATTTAGAATAAGCTGTCTCTTGTTTAAAATTTTGGAGGTTTGTTTAAGTGTTATGAGGACCTTGAAGCCGGGAGCCAGTCGCAATTCATTCACATAAGGCTGTTTTCAATTCTCACTAAACACATTCAGCATTCAACAATACTGTATATTTACTTTGTATTCACCTAGAATAGCAACCTTAAGTAAAATAATGTTTTTTAAAAATGTGTTTTATATTTTTTTATTGTGAGTCCTATGACTCACACTCCTCTATTTTACTGTGGGTCCCAGACCCAAAAGAACTGTGCAACAGTAGGTCCCAGACCTATAAGAAATCCACCGTCCCACAGTGATTTCTTGACTAGTACTTTTAACACAAAGCTTTGCTGATTCACACTGCGGCCCCAGGCCCGACCTGCTGACACATCTGTCATGACATGACTGACCTGTTTGAGGTACCAATATATACATTATATATATATATATATAAATAAAGATGCCACACATCTGATAGTTCACCCAAAGACAGATTTTTGATGATTTGTTGATTTTGATGATGTGTGATACAATATACACTCTAACAAGAAGCACTTAAAGGTAATAAACCTGTTTTTGATTTTGTTTCCACAGTGAGTTGGCTGAAAATCTTGTTCATTAATAACCTAATGATCTGCAGTCCATCACAAGAAGCATGCAAATTTGACACCATTGTGATGCTATTTTTTCCCCCACAACAGCCACAAGGCTAGTCTTTCTAAATTTGTATTTGCTCAAACACAAGCGACATATCTTTGACATGTGATCACAGCAGAAGGCAAATCTCTCTCCAAACAGTATCCTATCTGATTTAAAACCAATAATCATACACAAAAATAGAAAAAGTTGATGAGCTTTGAAGGAAAGACGTCATATTGTAGACAGTGAATCCCAAATTACTCTCTTCCATGATTCATGCTAAAAATCTGACAGAGCTTTCACTGACTAAAAGGGCTATTTACAATATGTCCTATACAGGAACTACTAGAACCTGACCTACTGTACCTTTTTACTCAGTTAGTTGACCAAAGAGACAGTTATATGATGTGTAATAAACATTTGCAGTGTGTTCACATATTTAGAGAAATTACATCATAAATCATGAGTGTTTCTGAAAAAATGTATCTATGGGCTGATATTTGTGTCAGTGGAAACTATTCTATTATAACTGCATTAAAAAAACTCAATTGAACAGCATAATTTGAATTTGTACTGTTTAACCTGAATAACTACTGAAAAACTGAATCTGTATAGTTTCATTAGGAATTGAATTTATTAGTTAACTGATTTCCAATAAACTTGAAACTCACTGCAATATTGTGAAACTCAATTCAGTTGCACTTGAAACTGTATTTGAGCCTCGCTAAAAATAAAACTCTTTTAGTGATTTTTACTTTCAGTTCTATCAATTCAAATTTGGTTCTCTCAATTCAATTGCAATCCACAAGATTCACTTTCAAGGTCAGCGACACCTGAAGGTCTTTGAGGAATAGCAATTGAGTGCAGATGCAGATGGGTATTGCTACTCGGTACCTTTGTGGTATCGACCGAAACAGCCCGGTATCAAATAGAATCGAAACGTCTCCAGTCAAACCATTACTTCATTCAATAAATTTGTAACCACATTGCCGTAAATTACTATTTGTATGGTTTTGCTTGCAGCCAAACACACAAGCAACACAAAGTAAGAAGACAAGAGCATGCCTGCACCATAAACTATATAAAAAAAGGAGTGCATGTGCCAAGTGCATGTGTGATTTTAACAACTTCTCACCTTCTGTTTGAAAGGGTGCCACTGGTTAAGCCTGTTGAATTGAAATGAAAGGATTCGAGGAAGTCGGGCTAAAAGAATGTTGAATTAGTCCCTGTCATAGATCTATTAAACCTTATCATTAAACATTCCAGTTCAGTGGGCATGACATCAGTATAAGTATGACATGGGCCTGAAAAAAGATGCCACACATCTGAATGTTCACCAAAAGTCAGATTTTTGATGATTTGTTGATTCTGATGATGTGTGAGACAATAGAACAAGAATCAAGAATACCTTGAAGACTTTCCTGCATTCTGATTAATTTTTCTGCACCAGTTTATGGTGAAAATGTTTTTATTTATGTAAAGAGAAACACAAA